ATAACAGGCTCCCACTACGATGTTGCAACTTTTTGGAATAGAATTTTTATTTCGTTAATGGGGAGGAAAAAAGTACCAAAAGGGGTTAAAACGGGAAATTTGATTTTATTCAACCACAATGATCCAATTTAGATAAAATTTTTAAATTTAGAAACACTAAATATCCTAATGGGGTGTTATTTGGAACCCCGGTATCAAGTGATATATTTTGGTACTTTTCATTCTCCAACTGGTCCTTTTTGAGTTTTCTATGATATTGAAATAGAAACATGAAATTAATAATAAAGGGACTTTTCGCTACTTTTTCGTTCTACACAGGTACTTTTTTGAGTTTTCTTTAAAATTAAAGCTAGAAACATGAAATTAAGCATGTAGAGCTCGGAGTAAATGAGAATCTATAAAATGGGACTTTTTGGTACTTTTTCGTTCTTCAAAAGGTACTTTTTGAATTTTCTATAATATTGAACCTAGAAACATGAAATTAAACATGTAGAGACCGGAGTAAATGAGAATCTATAAAAGGGGACTTTTTGGTACTTTTTCGTCCTTCGACTGGTACTTTTTGAGTTTTCTATAAAATTTAACCTAGAAACATGAAATTAATCATGTAGAGCCCGGAGTAAATGAGAATCTATATGGGGACTTTTTGGTACTTTTTCGTCCTTCGACTGGTACTTTTTGAGTTTTCTATAAAATTTGACCTAGAAACATGAAATTAAGCATGCGGAGGCCTTAGTTAATGAGAATCTATAAAAGCGGACTTTTTGGTACTTTTTCGTCCTTCGACTGGTACTTTTTGAGTTTTCTATAAAATTTAACCTAGAAACATAAAATTAAGCATGTAGAGCCCTTAGTAAATGAGAATCTATAAAAGGGGACTATTTGGTACTTTTTCGTCTTTCGACTGGTACTTTTTGAGTTTTCTATAAAATTTAACCTAGAAACATGAAATTAAGCATGTAGAGCCCTTAGTAAATGAGAATCTATAAAAGGGGACTTTTTGGCACTTTTTCGTCCTTCGATTGGTACTTTTTGAGTTTTCTATAAAATTTAACCTAGAAACATGAAATTAAGCATGTAGAGCCCTTAGTAAATGAGAATCTATAAAAGGGGACTTTTTGGTACTTTTTCGTCTTTCGACTGATACTTTTTGAGTTTTCTATAAAATTTAACCTAGAAACATGAAATTAAGCATGTAGAGCCCGGAGTAAATGAGAATCTATAAAAGGGGACTTTTTGGAACTTTTTCGTCTTTCGACTGGTACTTTTTGAGTTTTCTATAAAATTTAACCTAGAAACATGAAATTAAACATGTAGAGCCCAGAGTAAATTAGAATCTATAATAGGGGACTTTTTGGTACTTTTTCGTCCTTCGACTGGTACTTTTTGAGTTTTCTATAAAATTTAACCTAGAAACATGAAATTAAGCATGTAGAGCCCAGAGTAAATGAGAATCTATAATAGGGGACTTTTTGGTACTTTTTCGTCCTTCGACTGGTACTTTTTGAGTTTTCTACAAAATTTAACCTAGAAACATGAAATTAAGCATGTAGAGCCCTTGGTAAATGAGAATCTATAAAAGGGGACTTTTTGGTACTTTTTCGTCTTTCGACTGGTACTTTTTGAGTTTTCTATAAAATTTAACCTAGAAACATGAAATTAAGCATGCGGAGGCCTTAGTTAATGAGAATCTATAAAAGGGGACTTTTTGGTACTTTTTCGCCCTTCGACTGGTACTTTTTGAGTTTTCTATAAAATTTAACCTAGAAACATAAAATTAAGCATGTAGAGCCCTTATTAAATGAGAATCTATAAAAGGGGACTATTTGGTACTTTTTCGTCTTTCGATTGGTACTTTTTGAGTTTTCTATAAAATTTAACCTAGAAACATGAAATTAAGCATGTAGAGCCCTTAGTAAATGAGAATCTATAAAAGGGGACTTTTTGGTACTTTTTCGTCTTTCGACTGGTACTTTTTGAATTTTCTATAATATTGATCCTAGACGCATGAAATTAAAAAAGGGGACTTTTTGGTACTTTTTCGTCCTTCGACTGGTACTTTTTGAGTTTTCTATTAAATTGAACCTAGAAACATGAAAATAAGCATTTAGAGCCCGTAGTAAATGAGAATCTATAAAAGGGGACTTTTTGGTAGTTTTTGTTCTTCAAAAGGTACTTTATGAATTTTCTATAATATTGAACCTAGAAACATGAAATTAAACATGTAGAGCCCGAATTAAGTGAGGACCTATAAAAGGGGACTTTTTGGTACTTTTTCGTTCTTCAAAAGGTATTTTTTGAACTTTCTATAATATTGATCCTAGAAGCATGAAATTAAGCATGTAGAGCCTGGAGTAAATGAGAATCTATAAAAGGGGACTTTTTGGTACTTTTTCGTTCTTCAAAAGGTACTTTTTGAATTTTCTATAATATTGATCCTAGAAGCATGAAATTAAGCATATAGAGCCTGGAGTAAATGAGAATCTATAAGAGGGGACTTTTTGGAACTTTTTCGTTCTTCAAAAGGTACTTTTTGAATTTTCTATAATATTGAACCTAGAAACATGAAATTAAGCAAGTACAGCCAAGATTAAGTGATAACCTATAAAAGGGGACTTTTCGGCACTTTTTCGTTCTTCAAAAGGTACTTTTTGAATTTTCTATAATATTGAACCTAGAAACATGAAATTAAGTACGTAGAGCCCGGAGTAAGCGAGAACATATAAAAGGGGACTTTTTGGTAATTTTTCGTACTTCAAAAGGTACTTTTTGTGTTTTTTATAACATGAAATTAACCATGTGGAGCCCGGAGTTAATGAGAATCTATAAAAGGGGACCCTTTTGGTAATTTTTCGTTCTTCAACTGGTACTTTTTTAATTTTCTATAATATTGAACTTAGGAACATGAAATTAAATAAAAGAGGTCTTTTGTTACTTTTTCGTACTTCATTGGTACTTTTTGAGTTTTCTAAAATATTGAATATATAAACATAAATTTAAATAGGGGACTTTTTGATATTGCAGATATATATATACATTTACAATAATATTTATTTTATTTCATTACGATGAGGGTAGCGAAGCACACTGGGTATAGCTAGTATATTTATAAACCTTACCTTAAGTTTAATTGAAAGAAAATGGAAGTATAACTTTCAGTTTGACTTTAGGGATTCATTAACAATAGCTTGCGATAATGATTTGAGTTAGGATATTTGAATTATTTAATATAGGTAAGTTGTTAAGATCACCAAACACAATAGAATTCTCTTAACGAAAACTTCTCTATAGACCACATTAATAGTTTTTGGGCGATGCGAGTAAGTAATTAGGAGGTTAGATTTTCTCTATGGAATTAGATTTACTATTTTCCGTTGGATGTTAAAAATATGATCTAACAATATACATACATATATTAAAAACCTTACCTTATTGAATTTGTGTGTTGACTTGGAAGGAAATGGGTTTTTATACCCTACACCACTTTAGTGGGGAGGGTATATTGGATTTGTGCTGATGTTTGTAACGCACAATAATATTGGTCCTAAACCCACCTTAAAGTATACCAATCGGCTTAGAATCATTTTCTGAGTCGATTTAGCTATGTCCGTCCGTCTGTCCGTCCGTCCGTCCGTCCATGTAAACCTTGTAATCAAACTACAGGTCGCAATTTTGAAGATAATTCAATGAAATTTGGCACATGATCTTCTATTGGCCCAGGGACGAAGCCTATTGAAAATGGTTAATATTGGTCCATTATTTCACCTAGCCCCCATACAACTGAGCCCACGAATAGGGCTTGTAAACCTTGTAATCAAACTACAGGTCTCAATTTTGAAGATAATTCAATGAAATTTGGCACATGATCTTCTATTGTCCCAGAGACGAAGCCTATTGAAAATGGTTAACATCGGTCCATTTTCTCATCTAGCCCCCATACAACTGAACCCCCGAATAGGGCTTGTAAACCTTGTAATCAAACTACAGGTCGCAATTTTGAAGATAATTCAATGAAATTTGGCACATGATCTTCTATGGTACCGGAGACGAAGCTTATTGAAAATGGTTAACATCGGTCCATTATTTCACCTAGACCCCATACAACTGAAAACGACGAATAGGGATTTTAAGTTTATAATTATGTTTAATATACTCGTATCTCGACAAAAAGCTGCAAAACCAAGTTCTATACTAGCCTTGATGACTCGCATGAATTTTATAATTATAGGGTCTCATTTGACCATAGCCCCTATACAAATCCCCCTTCAAAATTTGACTTAAATGTCCACAATTTTATTCAACAATAAATGGCTTAAGTATATGTATCTGACACAAGTCAACTTAAATGCTTTATTATGAAAACTAAATCACATTTCATTTTTGTAACAGGTGTAGGGTATTATATGGTCGGCCTCGCCGACTATAACTTCTTACTTGTTTTAGTATAGGTAAGTTGTAAACGTCAAAGGATAGATCACCACACATAAAGAAAATCTTTTAACGAAGAACTTCTTTATATACAACGTTAGTGGTTTTTCCGTCAGATGAAAGGAAATATAAACATTTGGGGGAACTTACTCTTGAGCATGCGACATAAAATTGACCATGTGAGAAACACTCGTCGGTTAAGTCTACACCGGTAACTTTTAAGGGCTGTCCTTGGGATTTATTTATTGTAACGGCGAATGATTTTGATAGCACAGCCTGTTAAAATGGTTGCCTCTATAACATTTTTATGTAGAGCTTTTACACGCAAACGTGTTCCGTTGCAAAGTTTTGGAGGGTTTAAGTTTCGTAACAGCATAATAGGAGTTCCAATTTTTAAAATAATTTTATGATTTGGAAATCCTGGTGGATTTAGGGATTTAGGAGCTCTACAGGACAGTGTATTGCATCTTCTGCTTGTATAACTGAGTCTATTGAGTTATAATCCATTTTAGGAGAATCAAATAAATTCAACAAATTGTCATTAATTGCTGCAGCTCTATCATTTTTGGGTGTTAAGATTGCACGTTCACATAACCAGTCATTTGATTTTTTGTTGATATTGAAATTTCAGAAAATTGTGCTGCAGAGTTATCTCCTCTCAGATGGACGCGCATATTTTCATGGGGAGAAAGCTTTAATGTATGCTGCCATAGATTCGATGACTTAATGCAAGCTTTGACTTCATCAGCTATGGTTCCTCTTGGCACAACTGGAAGGGTTTGGCGAAAATCTCCAGCTAATAATACAGTAAATCCTCCCATAATATCGTTGTTTGACCTAATATCTTTTAATGACCTATTTAAAGCTTCAAATCCACATTTATGGGCCATTGTACTTTCATCCCAGACAATAAGTTTACATTGTTTCAATACGTATGCCAAATTACTTTGCTTTGAGATATTACATATTGGAGTTTCTAACTGCTGTATATCGAGAGAAATTTTAAATGTTGAATACGCACTTTTGTTAGAAGAAGATTTATGAAATATGTTTTTCCTGTACCACCTGGGGCGTCAAGAAATATTAGTTCACACATTCGATGCTGCTAATGACTTGATCGTATACTACTTGCTGATCATTTGTTAGAGAAGAATGTGCAGTAACCTCCTCTTGTTGCAATTCAGTCACATTATAGTTTGTTTCAGCTAGGTATTCTCTGTTAGCCGCCACATTATTAAATCTTGATGCTTTTGGCATTCCAATTTTTCACCACCAATAGAAAGAACTGTGTCTTCAATCAAAACCAAACACCTTCTATATACTTCATCCATTGTTAAGATTGATTCCATCTCAAGCATTCTCTTTATAAATTCTCTGATAAATTGTCTTTGTGTTTATCCCAGAGACTTGCTGCATTAGACAACTGGCAATTAACCAACATAATGGCAAAAAGATCACGAAGTTTTGAAGGGTAATCACACAAACCTGCTTCTTCTAGTGCATTTTCCCAATGTTTATCATCCTCTAGCAATCCTAAAGCCAAACAGGCAGAATGGAAAGTAGGATGCTCTACACCATTTACAGTCTTTAAGTCTACAAATGATGTAGGACCTTTAACCACATGTAAAAGTAGTCTGAGGTAGAAGCACTCAGTATTGTTTGGATGAATTGTAAACACCCGTCCCAATACATCGTCTTTTCTAATATCTTCCCATCCCTCGATGCGTTTACCACGTTTTCTTCTTTCGAATTTATTGCTTTTTAGAACGTAGTATGACGGAATTTCAGTATAAAGCAACGTTTTGGCGAACTCATCAACTTTACACAATTCGAAAAAAGACAAAAGTGTCGTTTGAGGAGGATTTTCTACTTGTTGTAATATATTGCTGGAGTTAAAATACACACGCTGTCCGTTTTTTAGGTGAACTGCAAGATGATATACGGGGGGATATCTTTCATGAATTGGGAATGCGAATATTCTCCAAACCGCTTCAGAGGAACTAATATAGCGACCTGATTCGTACATTTTTATTTCATCTTTATCATTTTCTAAAGCAAAAGCAGCTTGATCGCCTCCCTTATTTACATACTTGCAAATATATTTGATGGACTTTATGGAGTTGCAAATCTCAACATTAAATTGTGCTCCAAAAATGCGCAATAAAACTGGATTATATGGAACTACCCAACGGTTGTCAAGCACCATTTCTTTAATCCTGACAGTGAAGCCTCCATCTTCCGTGGATCTTCTTCGATATTTTGGATAACCATCATCTCCTGTCTGTGTTTCATTTAATAGTGATCGAGGATAATGCTTGCTACATGCACCTTCCTTTATACATGGAGAATTGTTATTGAATGCACCACATAGCCCATGAATCATATTAGTTTTTACTATTTCGTGTAAAGTGGGATCTGTATATGGGTTTGGTATTTCTGCGATAATAACATTGTCTATCATATTAGATTTAATACGACATACCAACCATACCAATAGGTGAACGTGAGGTAGTCCGCGCTTTTGCCGAATATGTGTCCTTTTGTTAAGAGAGCCATCAACTTTTTTATTTTGAAGTGAAATACTCTTTATATAATATCGTGGCGGTCTTGGGGCTTCTGGGATGGCAGAATTGCATTTGAAATATCTTGCCAGAAAAACTTACCTTAAACATAATCTAAAACTAAAACTTAAACAAAAATAACTAAAATTTTATCCACTATTACATTTAAATTGTTACATTAATTTTAATAATAAAAAATTTAAATAATAATTATTATAAATTTTGTTTAACTTTATTATTTTTAACTTACACAATAATCATAATCTGGTACATATTTGAGTGAAAACTAAAATTTGATTACATAATAATTAATTAAAATAAGTAATAATTAAGGCCTGATGACATCGTTGGATTTTGAAACTGGTGAGTTTTTGAATAAGTATTGAAAATTTACTTATTCACTCATTTATTGTAAAAACAACCCTTAAAATAAACATTTTATTTTACTCAATATTCAAATTTTGATTATAAATATAAATACTTATATTTAAAATAATGTAATTATTTAATTAGATTTAAATTTTTATTTCTTTATTACTTTTAAATAAATACTGTTAATGTATATTTATATTATGAAACTGTCCGATTAAATTCATTTTTAAATAATTCCATGAAAAGTTAAGGTGAACGTCAAGTAGGTTGGTATTAGGGCTATCCAGAATATTGTTGAGATAGCATGGCAGGGTGGGTAAAGATCATTGAAGAGGTAATGACATCTGGTCCTCTTCTTCAAAGTTTCTAAATTCATTTTTATTTTGTAATTTTTTTGTTATATTGTTTGTCTGTTTGGAAATTATGCTACCTAAGTTTTAAATAAATTATATACCAAACTTAGTTCAATTATATAGTGGCAAGAACACCATCCCAATTTCCCTGAGCACGTCCGGTATTAAAGGTAGCACAGCCTCTAGATAATTGAAGCCTTCGTGGTCGGTCCGTTACAACCATTAGTGTCTTGTCGTCCTACAGCGTCTCTTAACTGAACGCAATTTTTTGATCTGAGTTCTTTTTGATGATTTCGTATGAAATTTAATCTTTCGGTCTCAATTTTTGCATACATATCAACTAAGAATTGACTAAAGAGGGAGCGGTAGCGAAAAAAATTATCTCGAATCATCAAGCAATATGCGTAGTAGCTTGCTACAGACACTGCCTTTTTAGGGATTGGAAGTTTTGTTATGGGGTCTCGTAAAGGAATATTTATACAATATCCATCTTCGCCCCTGCAGAATAATATTGTAAAGCATCATAGGAACGATGTAACTCACTTATTCTTTGCAATTGATTATCATGGCTTCTCTTTTTTCAAACTGCTGACCTACAATTACTAACTCTACCTCTGTACATGTCGGTGCATTGAAACGACCTGAATGAGATTCCGCTGCTTTTTTATCAACATTGATAATTACATCAAATGATTCACATTGTTGTGGAACATTTTCAATTGTTGTCTTAAAATCCCTTATTAATTGGTTTACTTCGTGCATCAGTCTTTGTAGTTGTTTAACCAATCCATGTTTTATTTCAGGAAAGTTCTGACATCTTAAATTTGCTTCTCTTTCATCTTCACCAACAAAATATATTTGCAAGAACTGTGGATTTTCATGTAAAGGCAATAAGCTTCCCACCAGGTGATAAACTTGACCTTGCACTTTAAACGTCGGCATGAAGCCATCTTGGAAAATATGCCGTGCTCCAAACGACGTCATTTGAAAGCAACCATTATATTTTCTTATATTGTTCATGAAGTGCTTATGTTCAGGGTGGTTGTCCATTAGTAAACTGTGGAGTAAATCAGGTTGGTTTCCTAATGCTTCTAGTTGAACTTTCCCTCCATTGCAGCACATTCCAGATGATTCATCTTTCCACTTTAGAGCGTTACAATTCTTGCACTTATTGTTCATTTTTCCAATATCTGTAGTTTGGTTAATTTCATAATATATGTCAGGATTGTATTCCATAGCAGAATTTACTTTAATTCTCCATGGAAGCGACCGTTGTTCTCTATATTGTGTTTGGTTTATTCTATGAGAATTTGGGTTGTTTTGTTGGTATGTGACCACTGTTGCTCTATGAGTTTGAGGGTGTCTCTTTTGAGAGGCTGACGCAACTGCTCTGTGTTGCTCTGGATTTTGCGATTGATAGATTGCAACGGAAGCTCTGTGTTGCTCTGGATTTTGTGCCTGATAAATTATAGCAGTTGCTCTGTGTTGTTCTGCATTTTTCCCCTGATATAACTGCTTCTCTATGAGCTTCTGGATTGTTTTCCTGATATTTTGCCGCAGCATCTCTATGTATTTCAGGTTTTTTTTTTTTGCATACGTTTTTGCAGCATCATTCAATTGTTTTTTTCTTATATTCCCTGAAAATCTGGCTCCACGTTTCCGCGAAACCATTTGCGATTCACATGGAATATATATATCAAAATGCTCTCCTGATAAATTTCCTGAAAACTTCTGTGTCATTATTTTCAATTCTTCCCAATTATCTACCACACAATTTCCTTAAAGCAACCATTATATTTTCTTATATTGTTCATGAAGTGCTTATGTTCAGGGTGGTTGTCCATTAGTAAACTGTGGAGTAAATCAGGTTGGTTTCCTAATGCTTCTAGTTGAACTTTCCCTCCATTGCAGCACATTCCAGATGATTCATCTTTCCACTTTAGAGCGTTACAATTCTTGCACTTATTGTTCATTTTTCCAATATCTGTAGTTTGGTTAATTTCATAATATATGTCAGGATTGTATTCCATAGCAGAATTTACTTTAATTCTCCATGGAAGCGACCGTTGTTCTCTATATTGTGTTTGGTTTATTCTATGAGAATTTGGGTTGTTTTGTTGGTATGTGACCACTGTTGCTCTATGAGTTTGAGGGTGTCTCTTTTGAGAGGCTGACGCAACTGCTCTGTGTTGCTCTGGATTTTGCGATTGATAGATTGCAACGGAAGCTCTGTGTTGCTCTGGATTTTGTGCCTGATAAATTATAGCAGTTGCTCTGTGTTGTTCTGCATTTTTCCCCTGATATAACTGCTTCTCTATGAGCTTCTGGATTGTTTTCCTGATATTTTGCCGCAGCATCTCTATGTATTTCAGGTTTTTTTTTTTTTGCATACGTTTTTGCAGCATCATTCAATTGTTTTTTTCTTATATTCCCTGAAAATCTGGCTCCACGTTTCCGCGAAACCATTTGCGATTCACATGGAATATATATATCAAAATGCTCTCCTGATAAATTTCCTGAAAACTTCTGTGTCATTATTTTCAATTCTTCCCAATTATCTACCACACAATTTCCTTAAAGCAACCATTATATTTTCTTATATTGTTCATGAAGTGCTTATGTTCAGGGTGGTTGTCCATTAGTAAACTGTGGAGTAAATCAGGTTGGTTTCCTAATGCTTCTAGTTGAACTTTCCCTCCATTGCAGCACATTCCAGATGATTCATCTTTCCACTTTAGAGCGTTACAATTCTTGCACTTATTGTTCATTTTTCCAATATCTGTAGTTTGGTTAATTTCATAATATATGTCAGGATTGTATTCCATAACAGAATTTACTTTAATTCTCCATGGAAGCGACCGTTGTTCTCTATATTGTGTTTGGTTTATTCTATGAGAATTTGGGTTGTTTTGTTGGTATGTGACCACTGTTGCTCTATGAGTTTGAGGGTGTCTCTTTTGAGAGGCTGACGCAACTGCTCTGTGTTGCTCTGGATTTTGCGATTGATAGATTGCAACGGAAGCTCTGTGTTGCTCTGGATTTTGTGCCTGATAAATTATAGCAGTTGCTCTGTGTTGTTCTGCATTTTTCCCCTGATATAACTGCTTCTCTATGAGCTTCTGGATTGTTTTCCTGATATTTTGCCGCAGCATCTCTATGTATTTCAGGTTTTTTTTTGCATACGTTTTTGCAGCATCATTCAATTGTTTTTTTCTTATATTCCCTGAAAATCTGGCTCCACGTTTCCGCGAAACCATTTGCGATTCACATGGAATATATATATCAAAATGCTCTCCTGATAAATTTCCTGAAAACTTCTGTGTCATTATTTTCAATTCTTCCCAATTATCTACCACACAATTTCCTTACGAATTTCTGTTGCAAATATTTTGCAATCATACAAAATGTAGGATATGGACCCAAAAAGACATGCACCATCTTTATTAATTGAAACAATACTATGGGCCAATTTAACTCCACTTATATTTATAAATAATAAGAGAAACTACTATAATCGACAGTAAAAATTGTATATACTCGAAATGTAAAAGACCATCAGTAGTGTAGGAAAATTTAAGACCATCAGTTAGTTTTAAGTTTGAAAATATACTGTATGCAATTCCAGAATGCAAACATATTTATGCTGAAAAAAATTTTAACACGTTTCCCTATTATTTTGCATATATTAAAACGCGATAATAATTTGTTTGTTTATGTAAAGTGTAAAATTTTTATGATTTATACAATAATCTTAATATTTAATACTCGTAATAATTTATCATACATTTAAAAAATTTAATTTTACAATGAATAGTATTATATAGCACCCAATACTAAACAAACCTTACCAACATAGAATATATTTCTGTAATTTCAGCCCTCTAGCTGATCCCGTTCACTCTATCGTAATTTCAACAGACATTCGGATGGACATGGCTGGATAATCTTAATATTTAATGCTGAGAAAAATATTTCATACTAATTTTAGATACTCTTGTTATCATTTATATCGCGATACGACGCGTCGTAATAGATTGTATGAAAAGCCTCAAGGGAAAACACATGTAAAAAAGCCAACTAACAACAATAATCAAGATTCTATACGCTGCACAGTGGTATAGGGAAAAAAGAGGGAAATAATTCGGTAACTTCTAAACGGTTAATCCGATTTTAATGACATTTGGTATGCACAAAGAGGAGGTGTTGTCGAGTTTAGGTTTTGAATTTGGACCTTATAGGCCAACCAGGGGCCCGGCGGGGGGTCCTCAAATTAGGACACCTCGGCTATGTTAAATTTTTAAAACGATCCTATTTCTTCATTTGAGTTCCGATTTAAAAAAAATTTCGTATATAGAATCTCCTCATAAGGTTAACTCTTAAATTTGTTACATATATGGATGAAAATAATAGTGCTAGGTAAATTTTCTAAAAGATGTTTAGTTTTCCCTAATTAATTTGTCACTTAAAAAACATTAGGTAGGCATGTTATATATCAAGGGAAAGGTAATTTTGTCTATTTTTCAAAACTGTATATAATTTTTGAAAATTAAAAAATTCGCGGAATACTTTTTTTAAAAAAAATTAAAAAATGTTTTTTATTCAGTTTTTGCGAAGATACAAATTTTTCAAATTGCAATAAAAATTTTTGTATAAATTAACATAACGTATTTTTTTAGTATTAAAATGAATTATATGAAATGAATTATATAAATGAATTGTATTTAGTATTATAAGTAGTTATAAGTTTTCTTTCTTTTCTTTCGTTAAATGAAAATCGCGTTTTTTTTAATGAATTGTAAACACTATTCTTAACATTGTATAAAAAACTTATGTTAAACTTAACGAAAACTAACGAAAAACTTTATTATAAAAAACTAATCTCTTTGGTTTTTTTCCTTTTCCCATTTCTTTATTTCAAGAAACAAACCTCACCAACTTATAATTTCTCTTCCTGAGAAATTATAAGTTGATTAAAATATTTATTTTATTTTAAAATTAATATTTATTAAACAAAATAACGAGTTTTGTACATGATCCTTCTCGCCTTCAGAGGTTCAACCAGTGGCTTGGACACATCTAGAAGTTCTCAAGAATTTGAAGTTGTTCCCATCAACGTTTTGCCAACGGAAAATCAAGCAAGTAAAACAAAAGCTGAACCAAAGTGAGTATTCATGAAATTTTAATGTTATGTGAAAAAATTGCCAAGTGAAAATTGCCAATGTTGTACTAAGCCAAAATTTTATAATTTGCCAAAGAAAAATTAAAAAAAGAATTTTCATAAAAAAATCTGGAAAAGTGCCGTGGAAAGCCAAAAATTCTTATAAAAAAAAGAATTGGAAAAGTGCCGTGAAAATCCAAAAATTTTTTTCATATGGGAAAAATTATAAAGAACTGAAAAGTGCAAAATTCCAAAAAATAAATTTTTTTTTAAAAAAAAGATGGCGAAAAATTTTAATTTTCCAAAAATGCCACAAATTTCCAAGATAAAAATGTCGGAATATTAACAAAATAAAAAGAATCTTTTAAAGTGTATTTAAATTGCCGAAAAAAAAATATATAATTTTCTTCCTAAACATATCTGTGAAAAAAGTGAATAATTTCTTTTATTTAAATTTGCAAAAAAATTTTGTTAAGAGTGCATAAGAAGTATAAAAAACCACCACCTTTTTCAAGATAAATGTGATCAAAAAAGTTATTAACAAAAGAGAATAATTATCAAAAGAGAATTATTAACGTAGTATATACATACACACGCACACACAATTGGTTACTCTTAAACATAACAGCTGAGTAATAATAATAATAATCATACTCTCTTTATTCTGCTTCTAATATAACTGTGAACGAAGAAAAAGAAAACAACGAAAACAAGCACAGTGGGTCATATCAATAAAAGATTCTGTGAAAAATTTAAATTTACTGAGAAACGAAAATGACTGATATTAAAAGAATATTAAACGAATTAATTGTTCTCAATAAAGCAGAAAGTAATCTTAACTTAAAAATATAATAAAGAAAACTACATTACAAGGAAAATACATAGCGACGAAAAAATTTATCAGCAGTTAAGAGGAGTTGGAATAAAGAGAAATTAATACAGTTGTAAAAGCATATAGTGAATTTAAAGCTCTTCGGTGGTGTGTTGTTTATTTTTATGTCAACTAAGAAAAAATAAAAGAAATTAATTCTAAGATTTGTGAAATAAGTGATCAGAGATCTTAAAAATCCAAATCTCTTTGGATAAGACAATTTAAGTGCACAGTGAAGAAAAAACAGGTCTACATAAAGTCTAAATAAGGTTTTGGAAATAATAACAAAAAAAATTTTTAAATTCTCGAAAGAAAATAGTTACTCTTTTTATAAAAAAAAAAATTTATTTTTGGCAAAATAAGAAATTAATAATAAGGCAATTGCTTGCCTATACACGAAAAAGAAACCGAAATTTTTTTTTTTTAAAACTATTTTTTGGCACAAACTAACAAAAACATTCAAAAAAAAAGAAAATCAAATTAAAAAAAAAAGTTTTTGGCACAAATTGGAAAAAATTTACAGCTTTCTATGGAATTTTCGGCAATTAAAAAAAAAACAAACAAATTTTTTTTGTGAAATCCAAAATAAAGCAATTGCTTGCTTTTAATACATAAAAAGAATTTTTTTACAAAATTTTCTAAAATTTTTGGCAATTTATAAGGAAAAAATTAATTAAATTTAAACAACAAAAATATAAAGCAATTGCTTGCTTTTAATACATAAAAAGAAATTTTTTACAAAATTTTCTAAAATTTTTGGCAATTTATAAGGAAAAAATTAATTAAATTTAAACAACAAAAATATAAAGCAATTGCTTGCTTTTAATACATAAAAAGAAATTTTTTACAAAATTTTCTAAAATTTTTGGCAATTTATAAGGAAAAAATTAATTAAATTTAAACAACAAAAATATAAAGCAATTTCTTGCTTTTAATACATAAAAAGAAATTTTTTACAAAATTTTCTAAAATTTTTGCAATTTAAGGAAAAATTTTTTGAAATTTAAATTTTTTTTTTGGGAGAAAAAACTATATAAAGCAATTGCTTGCTGTTAATACATAGAAAAAAAAATAAATTTTCTAAAATTTTTGGCAATTATTAATTCAAAAAAGAAAAAAACTTTTTTTTTTTTTTTTTTTGAAACTTAAAATTTAAAAAATATATAAAGCAATTGCTTGTTTTAATGCATAAAAAAGAAAATTTTTACAAAAATTTTTGGAAACTTTGGCAATCTACCATCGTTAAAAAATAAAGCAATTGCTTGCTTTTAATATACTAGATTTGGTTCAACAAAATTTACGAAGATTTTTACAATTAACAACATTTTCAAAATAAAGCAATTGCTTGCTTATAACCAAAATATTTAAAAAAAAGAGAGATTAAAAAATCTCATATCTTGTCTAGCGGTAATCTTTAAAGAATATATTTTCTTTAAAGTAGTTTCTTGTTTTACAATTAAGCAAGAAATATTTTTTTTTAGAATACTCTTTGACAAAACGGCATATCTTATGAAACATCTGATTAATTAAGTGACTTAGATATCCAATTACTATTACAATTATACAGTCCACTATTCTACATTAAAGATTCTTACAATCTCATCAAAAGAAATCCAAGGAAAGGATTACTTTGGAATTATTGAAATTCGAATTACAAAGAATTCAATAATAATCAGTGAATTTACGATTCACACAGTGCTTTTACGAAGCAAAATTATTTTATTAAAAATCTCAATTCTATAATAATCAGTGAATTTACGATTCACAACGTGCTTTTACGAAGCAAATAATTCGATTATAAAAGAACTCAGTGATAATAAGTGAGTTTCCGATTCACATAAACACAACGTGCTTTTACAAAGCAAATAATTTAAATCCTAAAGAATTAAATATTAATCCGTGAGTTTCCAATTCACAAAAATAAATAAACTTAAAAAAAAAATATGGCAAACCTTCAGAATCGGTTTGCATTCGATGCAAATACCCTGATCTTACTTTGCAAGAAAAATGACGATCAAGATCTCGCTAATCAAGCGGATGCTATTTTAGACATTAGAATGAAAGATATTGATTCTCGCTGGGGAAAAGTAGAAAAATCATACGAAGAACTTATGCTTTCCGAGCTGAGTGAGGAAATTAAAGCCACGGCCCAAGAGCAATATGATTCGTGTGTTGATATATATTATTTAGCAATATCGAAAATTCTCAATCTGATAAAACCAACGAAAATTAGTATTGAAGCGCGTGATAGTATAGGCCCTGTAGTTTCAAGTCCACCGAATGGTAACTGCAATTCTGGATTAAAGCTTCCTCCATGCGATACCCAAGTTTTTTCTGGAGGTTATGAGGATTGGCCGGCATTTCGAGATATGTTCACGGCAGTCTACATCAATCATCCAAGACTCACAAACGCGGAAAAACTCTATCATCTTAGAAACATAACAACTGATACGGCTGGGGCGATTGTAAAAAGGTTTACACTTACCGACGACAATTTCGAACTAGCCTGGAATGCACTCAAGTTGCGATACGAAAACGTATCGCAACTTGCCGTGAAGGAAGACAGCGAGTCTCTACAAAGAATCCACAGTTCCGTAACAGATAGCTTAGCAATGCTTCAGGGGTTAGGTGTGTCAACAGATGGTTGGGATCCAATGTTAGTTAACTTAGTTTACTCGAAGTTACCTCACGAAACGTTAGCGCATTGGGAACAGTCTCTAAATGCCAGCAGAGAATTACCACCTTGGTCAGATTTAAGTGATTTTCTCTTAAAAAGATGCGAAGTAGTAGAAAGAATTTCGACTATAAAGGTTGCAAAATCTCCTTCTCTTAGCAACAGTGATTCTAAATCGCCGATTCAGATGTACGCATCCCAGGAAAGGCTTGATTTGAAATTCAAAATGTGTGAAAAGGATCACAACTTAAGAATCTGTCCTCAATTTCGTAAACTCTCTATTCAAGAAAGAGTAGATTTCATATTCAAGAATTAATATTGCAACAATTGTCTCTTACCTTCCCACACTAAAAAACACTGCACCAGCAGAAGTACTTGTCTAAATTGTAACAAACGTCATCATACATTGCTTCACATGCGATCATTTAATCCTTTTCGAAAAAATAACGATCAGACCAAAAATGGTCAAACAAATCCGCACAATAAGTCTGATCCCAAAGCCTCAACTAATCAATCTTATGATTTAAATAAAGACGATCAAGAACCGTCTACTTCACAGACAATGAAACCTAAGATTAATGCAAACTATGCTACAGACAGCACAAATATTTTATTGCGAACGGCATTAGTGCAGATTGAATCTAGAGGGGAACTATTCACAATCCGTGCGCTAATAGACCCCGGTTCCGAAAGAACTTTTCTCTCGGAAAAGATTCAAAGACGGCTCAATTTACCATCAAGAAAGTCTTATTCTGAGATTATCGGAATTGGAGGCCAATGTCAAACGGCAGAAAAGGAATGTGACATAGTCTTGGTATCAAAAATAAAGAATTTCAGACTTCCAGTAACAGCTACTGTATTACCAAAAGTAACGAACCAAATTCCCTCCACCTCCTTTAACGTTGCAAATACAGCTAAACTTGCTGATCTTGATCTAGCCGATCCTCATTTTAATATATCTTCGCCTATTGACTTAGTTCTGGGAAATGATAGCGAACGTTTTATAAATCTGGATGGAATTAGACGAGATGTGTGTGGTTCGGCCACAGCATACAGAACCGTATTTGGATGGGTCCTAAGTGGTTCAGTTCAAACAAAACCTATATTTTCGTTTTCAACAAGTGTCAAATCAGCAGAAGAAAATGATTTAGATAAATTGATTCGGAAGTTCTGGGAGCAGGAAGAGTTACCTTCGGCCCGTCCAATCTCCTCTGAAGATGAATATTGCGAACAATTCTACTCCCAAACGACGAAGCGTTTACCAAATGGTCGTTACATGGTAAGATTGCCATTCCGACAAGATTTTCCAGAGACTAGATTCCTTGGCCCATCAAGATTTGTTGCTCTAAGTCAGTATGTTCGTCTGGAGCAAACATTAACAAAAAATCCTCTACTACAGAATCAATATAATGAAGTTCTCAAAGAATACATTACCTTAGATCACATGGAAGAGACAACGTCAAAGGAATTCTTCTCAAATGAAAAATGCGACTCGTTTTATCTCCCCACATCGCCCAGAAAGTAAGACAACAAAAGTTAGAGTAGTGTTCAATGCGTCCCGTAGAACAAAATCGGGTTTTTCACTTAATGATGTGTTATACACAGGTCCCACACTACAAGCAGATCTTATGACAGTAATAATAAACTGGCGATTTTATAAGTTTGTGTTTAACGGTGACATACAAAAAATGTATCGTCAAATATTAGTAGATCCAAGAGACAGACCATTCCAGCGAATACTTTTCCAAAAGTCCCCCCGGGAGGCTATCAAAGATTATCAAATGAAGACCGTTACATTTGGGGTAAATTGCGCGCCTTTCCTTGCCATTAGAACATTACTTCAATTAGCATCAGATTATAAAGATCAATTTCCAAAAGCTGCAGCAATACTGCAAAAAGAAACATATGTCGATGACATTCTTACAGGAGGTCATTCTATAGAAAATGCATTAGAAGCACAGGCTCAACTTATTAAAACGCTCGAATCCGCAGGTCTTTTACTAAAAAAGATCACGGCAAACAACTCCCAGTTGTTAACTTCTTTTCCCAAAGAAGACTTATATGATTCAGACTTTCTCAAATTTCACGACGCTAGTACAATGAAAGCTCTTGGCATTCGTTGGAACGCAGTAACTGATTCCTTCAGTTATTATTTTGAGCCTATCCCTCAGGCATCTCAAATAACAAAAAGAAAAATAGTATCGTCCGTTGCCAAGTTGTTTGACCCCGCCGGTTGGATATCTCCAGTAGTGGTCAAAGGAAAACTTCTAATTCAACAACTATGGCTAGAAAAAATTGATTGGGATGATATGGTAAGTCCAGATTCTCTCCGAATCTGGAATGAAATTATCACTGATTTACAAAAAATTCAAGAAATCCAAATTCCTCGTTGGATTCAGTTCACTCCCGTGGACAATATTCAAATACATGGGTTCTGTGACGCATCAAAATTAGCCTATTGTGCTGCCATTTATATACGCATAGAAACGTCTTCTTTAGTCGTCTTCTCCAATCTGTTGGTAGCCAAAACAAAAGTAGCCCCTTTATCAGCAATCACATTACCTCGACTTGAACTGTCTGGTAGCGTTATGCTCGCAAAACTAGTACATCATACCATAACTTCACTTAACCTAGCTGAGACCGAAATAAATCTATGGTGTGATTCATCAATTGTCTTAGGATGGCTAGCAAAACCACCAGCTACTTGGAAGGAAATTTATGTGGCTAATCGTATCGGACAAATTCATACACTTACTTCCCAATGCAAAATGGCGTCATGTACCAACACATTGTAATCCTGCTGACTTAGGCTCAAGAGGTTGTAGACCTCAGGATCTCATCGGCAACTCTCTTTGGTGGCATGGGCCTGCTTGGCTAATACATCCAAAAACTGAATGGCCACGGAATAACCCATTAAATTCGCTTAAACGCTATGAAGAAAATCCCAAAAGCGATATGGAAAATATAACATTACAAACTCAAACCAATAGTTTTCATACTTCTATAATTCCAGAAGATATACTTAAAAGATTCTCCTCTTATACTCGAGCACTAAGAGTTTTAGCATACGTCTTCCGATACATAAGACGATTTAAAAGTTCATTTGCGAATCCAAATTTTTCTCTACAATATAATAATACTAAACTTGGTCAAGAAGAAATTAAATCAGTCAATTCCAGACTAATAATACTTGCTCAGAAAACACGCTATCCGATAGAATATGAAGCTCTTTTAAAATCGGAGCCAATTCCAAAAGGTTCTTCATTATTTACTCTCAATCCATTATTAGATCAAGAAGGTATTTTAAGAGTTAACGGTCGATTAGCCAACTCTTCACTACCCTTTAAAGAACGATTTCCAATAATATTACCACGAGATTCTCGACTTTGCGAATTATATCTATTACATTTACATGAATTTCTAGCTCACGGTGTAATGCAGTCTAATGTGTCGAATGATACAAACGGAATTCTACATCTCTCGACTAAAACTTCGGGTAAAGAAGGTGATCAGATATTGTAAACCGTGCATCATACATAAACGCCAAGCGTGCTCTCAAATAATGGCACCTCTACCTCCTGATCGCTGTACGTATTCTTTCCCTTTCAATGTTACCGGCATTGACTTCGCAGGGCCTTTTGAACTAAAAAGTTCCAGTCTCAGAAGAGCCGCAATCGTAAAAGGCTATGTCTGCGTTTTTATATGCTTTGCCACCAAAGCAATCCATTTGGAACCATGCTCAAGTCTTTCAACTCCCGCTTTCCAAGCAACATTTTCTCGTTTTATAGGACGACGTGGTCTTCCACAGCGACTAGTTTCTGATAATGGACGAAACTTCGTAGGTGCAAACCGAACTCTCCGTCGGGAATTCACCACATTCATCAACACTACATCTCAAGATATAGCGCAAAAATACATTTCCCACGGGTTTGAATGGTCTTTTATCCCCCCACAGGCTCCTCACATGGGAGGTCTCTGGGAAGCTGCGGTCAAGAGTTTCAAATTCCACTTAAAACGAGTAGCAGGAGCCTATCGCTTTAATTTCGAAGAGTTCACAACGTTATTAGCACGAATTGAAGGAGTTCTAAATTCGCGGCCGATTTCTTCGTTATCCGAAGACCCTAGCGATCTAACTGCCTTGACCCCCGGACATTTCCTTCGAGGTGGTCCAATTATGTCTTTTCCTGAACAAACAACTGATAATTTATCATTAATCAACCGATGGGAAAAAATTAAAGCTATTCATCACAAGCTGTCCCTACAATGGAAAGAAGAATATTTAAAATCCATGCATAAAAGATATAAATGGAAATTTTCTACTCCCAATTTAAAAATAGGTGACTTTGTGGTAGTAATGGATGATCTTTTGCCCCCTTGCGAGTGGCGGCTAGGTCGAATTGAAAAGGTTCATAGTGGTACTGATCATTACGTACGAGTAGTAGACGTTCGGACTCAAAACGGGACTATAACTCGTCCCATAACGAAATTATGCTACTTGCCCTATAATAATTCTTAAGCCAATAATGTCATTTCGTAATTATGTGGTTCGCGGCAAGTAGAAAGCAATTGTAAATTAATCTACATTAATAATTACATACAATCCTCCCAATCTCTATCCCATATTGCAGATATTTCTCCATTGTAACTTTGCATAGTTCACTTAAATAATATTTGTTTCTACTTCCAGTATGCCGAATCAACGTCCACGTAACCCAGCCGTTCACCAGTGCCAACTGTGCTACCGCTACCACTCTCTCCGATTCTGTCGGAGTTTCCTGGCCATGGGGCCGACTCAGCGGAACCAGGTAGCGCGTAGCCTCCACTACTGCGTTAATTGTCTGGCAAGGACACACGTCGTGGCTGACTGCAGCAGCAGTGACACCTGCCTATATTGTCAACAATTGCACCACACGCTGCTGCACCCCAACAGACGCAATCGCACCGTAAGGCGTAGTGTGCACGAACGGCTGGGAGATCGACCAAGGAACTACCGGCTCACCCGTCCGGAATGGGGTGTCTGCAGTGGCAGCCATCCGGTCCACCACTTCAGGCCACACCAGAAACGGCAACAACAGCAAAAAACGCCGCTCCACCAACTTGAGAAATGGCACCACTAGCAGAACGTTCTCCATCCCGCATAAGGCACCACGCCATCCGCCGCCGCAATCGCACCAACTCCCACATCAACAATCGCACCAACACCCACCTCAACAATCGCACCAACAACCGACACCAACAACAACAACCAAAACCACAACCAGCCACCGGCTCCCAATCAAAGGATTCTGTCCGAGGCGATCCGGTCCTTAGCCGTGGTACTATGCGCCTCCTCCGAACCATAATTTGCACAAGTGCAACGAGGGGCGCCATGTATAAATTAAAATAACGTATTTTTTTAGTATTAAAATGAATTATATGAAATGAATTATATAAATGAATTGTATTTAGTATTATAAGTAGTTATAAGTTTTCTTTCTTTTCTTTCGTTAAATGAAAATCGCGTTTTTTTTTTAACGAATTGTAAACACTATTCTTAACATTGTATAAAAAACTTATGTTAAACTTAACGAAAAGAATTAAACCGTTATAACGTTGTTTAAAAAAGCCTTCAAGGCATAAAAATATAAAATTAAAGTTCAAGTTCAAAACCAACAGTCAAAGGGTAAGCATCTCTTGCTTAATAAAAACTTTATTATAAAAAACTAATCTCTTTGGTTTTTTTTTTTCTTTTTCCCATTTCTTTATTTCAAGCAACAAACCTCACCAACTTATAATTTCTCTTCCTGAGAAATTATAAGTTGATTAAAATATTTATTTTATTTTAAAATAAATATTTATTAAACAAAATAACGAGTTTTGTACAATTTTATTTATGAATATTTTTTGATGAAATTTTACAGTTAGGTAGATTTTTTTACTTAAAATCCAAAATTAAATAAAAATTTCGAATTTTCTTATTAGAAATCCCGGAATTCCCAAAAAAGTTTTAAAAAATCCCAAAAATGGGATTTTTTGTTTTTTTGCCTATTATATCCATACCAGGGGCGGGGTTATCGAAATCCGTTACAAAATTATTAAGAACATATTGGTTCATATAAAACAGGTCACTATAATTTGATATGGACTATGCGATTTGAGAATTTTTGCTCAAAATTGAATTTTCCATAAAAAAATAGGGTTTTTTTGGATGGACCTGGTCCCCTCGGTATCAAAAATTTTAGGTTTTGTTTCATTTATCGTACTTTATGTAAAGTCAGCTTTCCAAAAAGTATAAATTCTATATACATCTTCTTAGAAACTTTTTAGATAACTTAAAAAGAAAAAGATATTTTTTTCCCAAAAAAATGACAAAAAATCGCCTTTTTTTATTTTTTAAATTAAAATACCTATAACTTTGGACTCAGTCATGATTTTTACATAATTCTTTCACTGCTTGATATATAAACTTGTTGTTAAGCGAATAAAAAAAAATGACGAAAATCGGGAATATTTGGACCCGCTATTATCAAAAAAACTAAAGTTTTT